CAGGTCGCTCCTATCTGTCCCAATAACTGGACCATTATGACAAGGTCCTGGATGCTCTAGAAGGCAAACAGAATGCAGATGTAATTTACATAGACTTTGCAAAAGCCTTTGACAAGAGTGACCAAAATGCGTTATCAAAAAATAAAAGGAAAAGTCGGTAGATGGATCCATAATTCCCTAACAAACAGAACACAAAGAGTAGTAGTCAACAGAGTAAAGTCTGAGGCAGCTACGGCGAAAAGCTCTGTCCCGCATGGCACATCTTGTTTCTCATCCTCATATCTGACATAGACAGAGATACAAGCCGCAGCGCCGTCTTCCTTTGCAGATGACACCCAAATTTGCATGACAGTGTCCTCCACTGAAGACACTGCAAGATTCCAGGCGGACATCAACCAAATCTTTAAATGGGCCGCAGAAAACAATAATACGAAGTTCAACGATGAGATATTTCAATTACTCCGATATGGAAAACGTGAGGAAATTAAAACTACATCAGAGTATAACACAATTTCCAACCGCACAATAGACCGAGAAACTAATGTAAATTCCTGGGAGTGATCGTGTCGGAGGATCTCACCTTCAAAGACCATAACATTGTATCAATCGCATCTGTTAGAAAAATGACAGGATGGATAATGAGAACCTTCAAAACTAAGGATGCCAAGCCTATGATGACACTCTTCAGGTCGCTTGTTCCATCTAGGCTGGAATATTGCTGCACACTAACAGCACCTTTCAAGGCAGGTGAAATTGCTGACCTAGAAAATGTACAGAGAACCTTCACGGCGCACATAACTGAGATAAAACACCTCAATTACTGGGAATGCTTTAAGTTCCTCAACCTGTACTCCCTGGAACACAGGCGAGAGAGATACTTGATCATGTATGTACACTTGGAAAATTCTAGAGGGATTTATACCAAACTTGCACACGAAAATCACTCCCTCTGAAAGCAAAAGACTCGGCAGACGATGCAACATCCCCCCAATGAAAAGCAGGGGCGCCACTAGCACGATAAGAGACAACACAATAAGTGTCAGGGGCCCAAGACTATTCAACTGCCTTCCAGCATACATAAGGGGGGATACCAATAGAACCCTGGCTGTCTTCAGAAAGGCACTGGACTGGCACCTAAAGTCAGTATCTGACCAGCTGGGCTGTGGTTCGTACGTCAGGTTGCATGCAGCCATCAGTAACAGCCTTGTCGATCAGGCCCTGTTCCACCATGATGCCTAGTCACAGACCGGGGACAGGGGCGTTGACCACCGGAACCCTCTCCAAGTATAGTCTTACTCTCGATATCTATAATCCCCCCCCCCCCCCAGTTTACACTCACACCCAACCAAATGACTGTAAACATAAAATTTTTAATATAGCTATTGCCTATTAATTCTTAAGTTAGTCCTAATAGGACTATTACCTATTAAATCTTAAGTTAGTCCTAAGTTCGATACAAGAGCTTCAATAGAAACAATGTATCATGCCAAGATATATCCAATCCCATTACCAAATCTACCATTTGTAATATTATTATATGATTTGTACTACCTAACTATTTTAAATCTAACTATGTATGTACCTAGTTAGATATGTATTTAATTACGTATGTATCTCATAATATGTATAAATGTACTGCTCCCATAACTTATATAAATGTAGAGTAAGAATTAGTATTAGTCTGCCCGAAATGTCTAGGCATTTGTAATTAATATCTTATAACATTTAAACCGCACATTGTAAGTTTTACAAGGAAATAAACATTTGAATTTTGAATCTGAATTTGAGATAGAACAATCTTCATGAGTTATCTAACATAGTTTATAAATAGCTGGAGTGCCGGTGCACTCGGCTCACACGCTGAGGTCCAGGCGTTGATCACCGGTACGGCTGGAGTGCCGGTGCACTCGGCTCACACGCTGAGGTCCAGGCGTTGATCACCGGTACGGCTGGAGTCCCGGTGCACTCGGCTCACACGCTGAGGTCCAGGCATTGATCTCCGGTACGGCTGGAGTGCCGGTGCACTCGGCTCACACGCTGAGGTCCAGGCGTTGATCTCCGGTACGGCTGGAGTGCCGGTGCACTCGGCTCACACGCTGAGGTCCAGGCGTTGATCTCCGGTACGGCTGGAGTCCCGGTGCACTCGGCTCACACGCTGAGGTCCAGGCGTTGATCACCGGTACGGCTGGAGTCCCGGTGCACTCGGCTCACACGCTGAGGTCCAGGCATTGATCTCCGGTACGGCTGGAGTGCCGGTGCACTCGGCTCACACGCTGAGGTCCAGGCGTTGATCTCCGGTACGGCTGGAGTGCCGGTGCACTCGGCTCACACGCTGAGGTCCAGGCGTTGATCTCCGGTACGGCTGGAGTGCCGGTGCACTCGGCTCACACGCTGAGGTCCAGGCGTTGATCTCCAGTACGGCTGGAGTGCCGGTGCACTCGGCTCACACGCTGAGGTCCAGGCGTTGATCTCCGGTACGGCTGGAGTGCCGGTGCACTCGGCTCACACGCTGAGGTCCAGGCGTTGATCTCCGGTACGGCTGGAGTGCCGGTGCACTCGGCTCACATGCTGAGGTCCAGGCGTTGATCTCCGGTACGGCTGGAGTGCCGGTGCACTCGGCTCACACGCTGAGGTCCAGGCGTTGATCTCCGGTACGGCTGGAGTGCCGGTGCACTCGGCACACACGCTGAGGTCCAGGCGTTGATCTCCGGTATGGCTGGAGTGCCGGTGCACTCGGCTCACACGCTGAGGTCCAGGCGTTGATCTCCGGTACGGCTGGAGTGCCGGTGCACTCGGCTCACACGCTGAGGTCCAGGCGTTGATCTCCGGTACGGCTGGAGTGCCGGTGCACTCGGCTCACACGCTGAGGTCCAGGCGTTGATCTCCAGTACGGCTGGAGTGCCGGTGCACTCGGCTCACACGCTGAGGTCCAGGCGTTGATCTCCAGTATGGCTGGAGTGCCGGTGCACTCGGCTCACACGCTGAGGTCCAGGCGTTGATCTCCGGTACGGCTGGAGTGCCGGTGCACTCGGCTCACACGCTGAGGTCCAGGCGTTGATCTCCGGTACGGCTGGAGTCCCGGTGCACTCGGCTCACACGCTGAGGTCCAGGCGTTGATCTCCGGTACGGCTCGAGTGCCGGTGCACTCAGCTCACACGCTGAGGTCCAGGCGTTGATCTCCGGTACGGCTGGAGTGCCGGTGCACTCGGCTCACACGCTGAGGTCCAGGCGTTGATCTCCGGTACGGCTGGAGTGCCGGTGCACTCGGCTCACACGCTGAGGTCCAGGCGTTGATCTCCGGTACGGCTGGAGTGCCGGTGCACTCGGCTCACACGCTGAGGTCCAGGCGTTGATCTCCAGTACGGCTGGAGTGCCGGTGCACTCGGCTCACACGCTGAGGTCCAGGCGTTGATCTCCAGTATGGCTGGAGTGCCGGTGCACTCGGCTCACACGCTGAGGTCCAGGCGTTGATCTCCGGTACGGCTGGAGTGCCGGTGCACTCGGCTCACACGCTGAGGTCCAGGCGTTAATCTCCGGTATGGCTGGAGTGCCGGTGCACTCAGCTCACACGCTGAGGTCCAGGCGTTGATCTCCAGTACGGCTGGAGTGCCGGTGCACTCGGCTCACATGCTGAGGTCCAGGCGTTGATCTCCGGTACGGCTGGAGTGCCGGTGCACTCGGCTCACACGCTGAGGTCCAGGCGTTGATCTCCGGTACGGCTGGAGTGCCGGTGCACTCGACTCACGCTGAGGTCCAGGCGTTGATCTCCGGTACGGCTGGAAACATCAGGACGTGTTTCCTTGAGGCACCTGCTGTCCATGTTCACCTATCAGTAAACTAAGTACCTGGATGTTAGTCGACTGGCAGAAGTGTTCTGCCAGTAGTGTTTTGCATAACAAGGGGCTCTCTATATAGTTATTGTGAATTATTATTATTTTGTGAGTAAATTACCTGCAGGAGGTTTACAGGGCATTACCTGAATTATCACCTGCTAGTAATTTGGGTGCGGTAAACGGGACTTAGTCACAGCAGGTGGCCAAACTGTCACTCCCTAGTAGCCCACTCCCTACCACTCTCACAGAAAGCTAGACCTGACATTAAATTAACAATTACAATATTAAACATTAATACCAATAATAGTAAATTATAAAATAATTTAATTACTGGAAGACACTTAATGCCAATGGAATACACCCTAACCTTACCCTAGCTGCTAGAATTTACGATGGCCAACGCAAAAACTACTGTGCATTATAGGTAAATGTCACTTAGCTGAGGTGTGCTCATGGGAGAATTGGTGTCCTCTATTTTTTCGTCCTGGTTCCCGAATTGTAGGGTTTTCCACACTATCCCAGTTCTTCAGCAGGAACGTATCAGCAATTTCTAAATTATGGACTGAGGCTGATATAAGCCAACTGACCTTCAAAAACGCCTGATTACATTGCAGGCGTCTTTCTGCGGCGTCACTCCCCCGGCTGTTCTGCCTCCCCCCTCACTCAAAATTTTTCGAAGGGTCTAAACAGCATCACATTTTAATATGCAATTATTATATTATTCGTTTATGCTTTCTACATTTAGGAAATTATATAAAAAATTTCCACAATAGTAATATGTCATTGTTGTCAGCTAGGTCTGTATACCTTGTACATATACTTGTAGAAATAAAGACTATTATTATTATACTGCCCAAAATTCTCCTGGAAAATTGATTTCGAAAAATAGATGACCATGCACAAGCTATGGAAATCTTGCCCACCCATTTACCACTAGATATATTGGATAACTTTAAATATATAAATGTACACTATATGCAAATATGATATACATTAATTAATTTGTGTATAATAATTTTTAAGTATTGAACTTTATGAAAATAGGTCATTCTTGCTTATTATTTTGAATTATCATGGGTAAAGTGCTGAGTTAATTTAGCTCTTTGAACTCTTTAACAACTTTGTTTTAAACAATTTTGGCTTAACTTCCACATTTCTATTTTTCAGTTAATTGTTCATAATGGTGGTTGTGTCTGTTATCAACAACGGTCTACATTACTATAATGAGTTCCTTTATGTCCGGCCCTTACTGACCAAGGCTTGTACAAGGTAATACTACACTGTATACTGTACGAGGTAATACTGCACTGTATACTGTACCAGGTAATACTACACTGTATACTGCACCAGGTAATACTACACTATATACTGTACAATACGGTAATACTACTTGCTATACTGTACCAGGTAATACTGCACATGTATACTGTACCAGGTTAATACTCAACTGTATACTGTACAGGTAATACATGCACTTGTATATGTACCAGGTAATACTACACTATTACTGTACCAGGTAATACTACACTGTATTTCTGTATAGTATTACTACACGGTATACTGTACCAGGTAATACTTCACTGTATACTGTACCAGGTGAATACTGCACTGTATTACTGTACCAGGTAATACCCCTCTACACTATATATCCTGTACAAGGTAATACTGCATGTTTACTGTACAGGTAATACTTCACTGTTTACTGTCCAGGTAATTCTTCACTGTATACTGTACTGGTAATACTACACTATCTTTATACTGTACACCCCCATCAGGTAATACTACACTGTATACTGTACCAGGTAATTATACACTGTTATACTGTTACAGGTAATACTACACAGTATACTGTACCAGGTAATACTACACTGTATACTGTACCAGGTAATACTACACCGTATACTGTACCAGGTAATACTACACCGTATACTGTACCAGGTAATACTACACCGTATACTGTACCAGGTAATACTACACTGTATACTGTACCAGGTAATAATACACGTATACAGTACCAGGTAATACTGCACCGTATCGTTACCATGGGTAATAACTTACAACAGTTTCTGTAACAGGTAATACTTACACCGTATACTGTACCAGGTATTACTACAACTGTATACTGACCACGGTAAATTTCTACACTGTACTACTGTACCAGGTAATACTACCACTGTATAATGTACCAGGTATTACTGCACTGTTATACTGTACCAGGTAATACTGAACTGTTCTACTGTACCTGGTTAATAATGCAATGTATACTGTACCCGGTAATTCTACACCTTATACTGTACCAGGTTAATTATGCACTGTATCCTGTACAAGCGGTAATACTACATGTATACTGTACCAGGTAATACTGCACTTGTCATACTGCCATACCAGGTAATTCTACTCTGTATACTGTACCAGGTAATACTGCAACTGTATAATGTACCAGGTAACTATACACTGTTTACTGTACCTAGGTAATGCGACAATGTATACTGTTCCCAGGTAATACTGCACTGTATACTGTACCAGGTAATTACTACACTGTATAATGTACCAGGATAATTCTGCAACGTTACTACTGTACCAGGTAAAACTGTCTACAGCTATGTTTACTCTGTACCCAGGAATATTTTGTTTACACTGTTATACTGTACCAGGTAATTCTAACACTGTATACGTGTACACAGGGTAATAATTAACCTGTATATATACCAGGTTAATACTGCATTGATATACTGTTACAGGTATATTTCTACAATGTTTACTGCTACAGTACTACTACACTGTATTACTGTACCACGGTAATACTGCACTGTATACATGTACCAGGTAATTATACACTGTATACTGTTCAAGGTAATACTACTCTATATAACTGTACCAGGTTATAATGCATTGTATACTGTTCCTGGTAATACTACACCGTTTCTATTCTGTACAGGTAATACGGCCACTGTATCTGTACAGGTAAATACTGCACTGTATACCTGTAACCAGGTAATACTACATGTAATACTGTACAGGTAACTAATCCAGACATTATGTTACTGAATACAGGTATATACTGAACTGTATTACTGGTAACCAGGTAATATATAGCACCGTTATACTTGTACATGGTTTAATTCTGCACTGTATAATGTTCAATGGTACGTAATTCTAGGCTCACTTCGTATACTGTACAGGTAATTACTTACACTGTATACTGTACAAGGTTATTTACTGCATGTATTCTGTTAACCAGGTAATACTGCACTGTTTATACTTGTACAGGGTAATACTGCTCTGTATCTATAACTGTAACAGGTAATAATGCCACTGTGATCTGTACCAGGTTATACACACTGTATAGCGGATACCAGTAATAATATCACTTTATACTGTACCAGGTAATACTGCACTGTATACTGTTCCAGTAATACTACACCGTTTACTGTACCACGGTTATTCTGCATGTATTTACTGTACAGTAATTCTTCACTGTATACTGTACCAGGTAATACTCACAATGTATTACTGTATCCAGGTAATACTGCACAGTATACTGTAACAGGTAATACTGCACTGTATACTGTAACCCTGGTAATAATGCCACTGTATACGGCTACCAGGTAGTTGCTACACTGTATTGTACCAGGTAATAACTACACTACATACATGTACCAGGTAATACTGCACTGCTTTACTGTTCAGGTAATACTACCACTGTTACTGTAACAGCAGTTATTACTACACAGTATACTGTACCAGGTAATAATACACTGCATATGGTAACAGGTCAATTCTAGAACACTCTATATACTGTACCAGGTAATAATGCACTGTATACTGTTCCGCATGGTGGAAAGGTATAGACTCTAGTTACTGACTTGCGCAAGTTTCGGGTGTGTTTACCAAGCGTTTTATACATCTTATATAGCTGTAACTCCAGGTAAATAATTGCAATGTATACTGTACCAGGTAAATACTACACTGTATACTGTACCAGGTAAGTATGCACTGCTTTTACGTACCAGGTATTTACTGCCTACTTGTTATACTGTAACAAGGTATTACTGCACTGCTATACCTGTACAGGTAATAGTACGACTGTATACTGCACCATGGTAATACTTAAACATGTATAGTGTACAACCCCCCTCCCCCCCCCTCTCCCCCCCCCCCCTCCCATCCCCCTTGGTACTACTGCCACCGGTTTACTCTGACTGGTATTTAAATACACTGCGATACTGATAACAAGCAATAACTACACTGTATACTGTACAGGTAACCTACTATGAATAATGTACCCAGGTAATGCTACAATGTATACTGTTCCAGGTTAATACTACCACTGTGTTCTGTACTGGTAATACTGTATCAGGTAAATTGCTGCACTGTATCTGTACCAGGTAATATACAATGTATATTGTCCCGGTAATACTACATTGTTATTCTGTTTATGCAGGTAATACTACACGGTTATACTGTACGAGGTAATACTGCTTCGTTATACTGTACAGGTAATAATACATGTATACTGTACAGGTAATACTGCCCTGTATACTGTACCAGGTAATACTGCACTGTATACTGTACCAGGTAATACTGCACTGTATACTGTACCAGGTAATTCTGCACTGTATACTGTACCAGGTAATACTACACTGTATACTGTACCAGGTAATACTACACTGTATAGTGTACCAGGTAATACTGCACCGTATACTGTACCAGGTAATACTACACTGTATACTGTACCAGGTAATACTACACTGTATACTGTACCAGGTAATACTACACTGTATACTGTACCAGGTAATACTACACTGTATACCGTACCAGGTAATACTACACTGTGTACTGTACTGTATACTGTACCAGGTAATACTGCTCTGTATACTGTACCAGGTAATACTACACTGTATTACTGTACCAGGTAATTAATACATTGTTTAATGTACCAGGCATACTTACACTGTATACTGTACCAGGTAATACTGCACTGTATACTGATTCTCAGGTAATAGACTACACTGTATATTGTATCAGGTAATACTACACTGTGTACTGTATCGGGTAATACTACACTGTATTATGTACCAGGTAATAATATTTTTGAAACTGTACCCCTGTACAGGTAATAACTACACTGTAAACTGTTACCAGGTAATTTACTACACGTATACTGTACCAGGTTTACTACAACTGTATAATGTACCGGGAATAATACTACACTGTATACTGTACCAGGTAATACTACACTGTATACTGTACCAGGTAATACTACACTGTATACTGTACCAGGTAATACTACACTGTATACTGTACCAGGTAATACTACACTGTATACTGTACCAGGTAATACTACACTGTATACTGTACCAGGTAATACTACACCGTATACTGTACCAGGTAATACTACACTGTATACTGTACCAGGTAATACTACCTGATATACGTACCAGGGAAATACTGCAATTATCGTTATACTGTACCAGGTAAATATCTACACTGTATACTTTACCAGGTTATACTACACGATACTGTACCAGGTAATACTACACTGTATACTGTACCAGGTAATACTACACCGTATACTGTACCAGGTAATACTACACTGTATTCTGTACCAGGTAATACTACACTGTATACTGTACCAGGTAATAATAAACTGTATTACTGACCAGGGTAATACTACACTGTATACTGTACCAGGTAATACTACACTGTATACTGTACCAGGTAATACTACACTGTATACTGTACCAGGTAATACTACACTGTATACTGTACCAGGTAATACTACAACTGTATACTGTACCAGCGTTAATATAGTCTGTACACTGACACCCAGGTATTTCTACACTGTATTACTGTACAAGGTTATTCTACACGTATACTGTACCAGGTAATACTACATCTGGTATTACTGTATACAGGGGTAATACTACACTGGATTACTGTACCAGGTTAATTACTTCACTGTATACTGTACAGGTAATTTCTGCACTGGAGTGTATACTGGTACCAGGTAATACTACACTGGTATACTGTACCAGGTAAATACTTACACTGTATTACTTACCAGGTAATACTACACTGTTTAATGTACCAGGTAATACTTACACTGTATTACTGTTCCAGGTTAATACTACACTGTATACTGTTACCTGGTATTACTGATCTGTTTACTGTACAAGGTTAAATTCTACACTGTATACTGTACCAGGTATTTAACTGCCCACTGTTATGTGCCAGGTTTATATTTACACATTGTGTTAGACTGTACC